CATACAGGGCGCTACCTTTATCTTGCGAGAGAAACGTATGCCTACTATGTGACGGGCCGAAAATTCGTTCGTATTGTTGATCAGCAAGCGATTTCTATCTTCATTCAGCCGAAAGCTTTTGATCTAAAAGAAGGATTTTACCTATTCTTTTTTGTTATGTCCTAAAAACTCTTTGGAACCATTATTAAATAAAAGTAAACATGCTTTCTGCTGGAATTGATTATGAATGACAAAAAGAAATCGAAGATGTTGATAAAACCATCTGCTCTGGTACTCATTCTGTATATCTCGAGATTCTAGACAAAATTAAAAAAATAGATCTGTCATGTAACCGATCCTGAGCAGGTATCTCGATTTCAGTCTCTTTCTCGAAGACGTGAGGTGGTTTCCCTAAGTCTTTTCTACAAATATTTTCTTAGAAACTGTTCTGATGAACTTTTATTCACTAGTGGCTCGACTGCATGAATTTAAGCGTGCTACTAGATTGGCAACTAGGTCTCACCGTTTTACTGTTGAACGAGCTGGATGCAATCGCCACTTCTACGCTAATAGTTTCTTATCTCGCACTTCTCACCCGTGGAATTCCCTTCCGATTTCATGCTTCCATGATAACTGCAATCTACAAAAATTTATATGCAACGTCAATCGCCATCTTCTGTCTTCTTGAAACCTGTTACTTTATTGTCCTTTCCTCAATCCTCCCCACTGAAGACTTCTTATTTCTTTTCGTTCCCTGAAACCACCCTGCGTCACCATGGCATTATCGCCTTGCTTGGGTGGGCTGAGGATGTGAAACGATTAAAAAATATATAAAAATATATACGAGGGAAACTTTACCAAAAACTCGTAATGCACATATGTACCTAGTAAAGAACTTGTGGTAAGAAGACAAACACAATGTTGTTTTAGAAATTGGCAGATGAAATACGCGACTTTTATTGGAATATCTACATGTTTTTTTATCTGATAATAATATTTTAACCAATTCGTCTCAAACCAGGCGATACAGCCAATAGAACCCAATGTATTACCGTGAGTGAAAGAAACTTTAAAAAAAAAAGAAAGAAAAACCAAAAGAACAAGATTCAAGGTGAAGATCGCAGTTAACTGGAAAGCAAGAAGTCAGAAGAGAGTTCCACAGACGAAAAGCACGAAAGAAGAAATTATTAACGTAGAAGTTATGGCTATGTTCTTTCCGATTACGAAATCAAACTAGTGCTTCTTTTAGACTGTCAGTTACACAAGGCTAGAGAGCCTAGTCTTCACTAGAATTTTAACAGAAAAAATTGTGAAAACTCGCTGCTAATATAGTACTACGCTTAAATTCATGAACTCTAGGTACCCACGACGAAAGCTGATCAGAACTATTGCCATAAAATATATTTATAGAAAAGGCAGTGAGAAAAGATTGAAACCTTAAATGAAGGTCAGGGGAGATAATATATCTCGAAAGAGAATTAAAACTTGCCATATGAGTGCTAGCAAAAAGTAGGTCCTTTCTTATTGGTCATGTCACTGACAATCTTGACATCCCATTATTTCAAAACGACAATGTGATGGATATAGAGAACATGTGATATATGCTACAGTGTGCAATGAAGCTGTGATTATTTTTTTTACTAGTATAGAAAAGGATTGAGGGTACAGATTAGTTGCAAGATGTTTCCTCACAAGATTCCCAATATCTTTAGAATAATCTCTTCTTATTTTGGTGTTATTTTATCCATCCATGGAAGCACGTGATACAATATTCGCTTTATTGCGATATTCGCTTTATTGTGATATTCATTTTATTGCAGTGATGTGGAACCGAACTCGAAAATATTTTTGAGCTGGGCTTGTATAAAAAAAAAGCAATAAATAAATAAATAAGTTGTAAAATTAGATTTCCAGAATTTCAGAAGAATGTTTTTAATGCCAAGTCCTTTCAGGGTGTATGTGATCCTGGTTTTGCTCAGATTATTTTTTTGTTTTTCATTATTGCCTATGAATTGCCAGAGTTTCTTGCGAAAAGAGTGGCGTGGTTTTCCCTTACCTTCTTCACGATTATGAAATCAGACAAGTACTTTTCTTAAATTGTTTGTCACTCAATCAAGGCTAGAGAGTATAGCGTACTCTCTTATTTAACCCGAATGTGGAGGATAAAGGATATATACATTCGTACCTTTCTCAAAGACATAAACGTGAATGTAACAGATTATTATAACAGATAATGTAACTGGATATTGAATTCGAATTGCATATTTCATTTTAAAGGCTGATAAACGTTCTACCACCTGCACAACCTTATTTTAGTGATTACGGCTGTAAAATAGTTAGACAATTTTTCTTATATTTTTCTTCAGATATGCAACACCACCCTGATGATCTCTGTCTCTCTCTCTCTCTTATATATATATATATATATATATATATATATATATATATATATATATATATATATATATATATATATATATATATATATATATATATATATATATATATATATATATATATCTGTGTGTGTGTGTGTGTCTGGGCATGTAATTACATATGTAATTGTACATTGGACATGTGCATACATCCATAGAAATACGCAGAAATATATATGCAAAATGCGTATGTATATATATATATATTAAGCGTTTCACCCCAAGCAAGGCGAGAAGCCACTCGGACGCAAGGGGTTACAGAAAATTTGGGGCAAGATCAGATAGGAGTGATAGAGGAAAAGATGAGGAGAAGGGTAGTGGATAGATCAAGGCAACTGGAATATGTCGATTGACATTACATTTGAATAGCTGGAGATTATAGCTCTCAGGGAAACTGGAATAGGGAAGGGAGTTCCACGGGCGAGAGGTGCGAGACATGAAGCTATTGGAGTAGAAGAGACGGCTACATTTAGTAGTTTCGACAGTGAAAGGATGAGAGCGGGATGTCAGCCTCGTAGGGCGCTTGAATTCATGAAGTCTGGGAACCAGCGAATGCAGCTCCTCGAAGCAATTGCCATGAAAGTATTTGTAAAAAAGACAAAGAGAGGTGACGGCGCGTCTGTGAGAAAGTGACTGTAGACGAGATGCCAGAGCAGGGCCAATTATATTGCATATCCGCCTCTGGAGCCTATCAAGAACCCCGAGGCAAACAGAGGGTCTCCAGAACATATATGGCAGCATACTCCATGCAAGGGTGAATTGTTGATTTGTAGATCTGGAGGATCGATTCCGGGGAGAAAAAATTCCTGTCGCGGCGCAGGGAGCCAATTTTCCTTGCGGTGGACGAAGCAATTGACTCAATGCATACATACATACATACATACATACATACATATATATATATATATATATATATATATATATATATATATGCAAATTTATATATATTATTTATACATTATATATGCTCGGTACTTATTGGAAAGTGCTCAATATCAGTGATAGAGCTAACATATATATATATATGTTCTCTCGCACACACATATATACATATGTGTGTTCGAGAAAACATCATTCCGTGGACAAAATAGACGAACGGTCTGCGCGTTGACAATGCGACTCTCAAGGGAAGTTCACCACACAATCCAGCATTGAACACAGCGACCAACTGCGTATGTATGTACGCAACGACACATGGATGAGCATATACGCACAGTCCCACACTATTCATATATGTTTATGATTGTGTGAGCTGCAATACGTGAACGGGCGTATATGTATGTCTGCGTTCGTATGAGTAGCGTTCCGACAATTTTCCCTCCCACTACCACAAAAACACTGATATACGCAACCATATATAAATCCAAAATTTAAAAATTAATCAGGGTGTCTGACGATCGCAATTAGCGTGAAACCCAGGTCACAAACTTACATAAATACAACTATATATATATATATATATATATATATATATATATATATATATATATATATATACAGGGGTGACCCCAAAAAACGGGAACTTTTTAACAATCCAATAAAACCAAAAGAGTGATGGAAGAAAAATATTTTATTCATAGTAATTGAAACAATAAAACGTACCATTTAAGAAACAATGATGGAATTTTTATTTTTATAAATTACGTCCCTGTAGATGGCATCCTCCTGTACGAATGCATTCTTGAAATCTGCTGTTGAGATTCCTCATTGACTGCTGCAACATCTCAGCTGGGATACTGTGAATTTCATCTTGAATTCTAAATGGCGAAATGTTTACTTGTTCAAGGTCACTGTCTCGCAGTGTTGCCACTTGCTCATGTCTTGCAATACGCACTTCAAAAATTCCCGTTTTTTTGGGTCATCCTGTGTGTGTGTATATATATATATATATATATATATATATATATATATATATATATATATATATATATATATATATTAGTTCGACCCAAGTAAGACGATAATAACACTGCGACAGAAGAGGTTACTATTAGTGAAAGAGAACTGGAAGACTTTAGAAGGAACCGGCATCTCAATTCTAAATGGGAAACAAGGGATAAAGCTCCTCTCCTGTTCAAAAGATCTGGGAGGTGTGTGAACCGGACGATAGTAAACCTATTCTTATTAAATCCAAAGTCAGTTGTTTCTATGTGCTAACAGATTAATGTATTTGCAGTAAAGAAACAGAACGAGACCCACAAAAGAAGGTTCACTATCCTTTGCCGTCACTCGCTTACTGATTTTACAATGCCTAACAAAAATTATGGAATTAGTACTGTTAGAGAATGTTCATTTAAGTTTTTCATCTAACAGGAAATAAACAATTCAAAGACGTAAGGCATTTTTATTTAACAGACAAACCTTCTAGCTTCCTAAAACATACTTTAGACAAATTATCTAAATATTTAAATTTATTATTTAATTATTTAAATCTATGACATATTTTTATAAATTATTTATTATTAAAATTATTTAAATCTATGACATTTTTTCAAAGAGAAACATATGGCATAACGCTATGTTATCGATTAAAACACTATTGATATATTATTAAAATGTTAAATTTTGCCATTAAATAAAAATGACTTACGGCCACATCACGTTGAAACATCGGTTCCCGAACGATCACCGAAGTTAAGCAACGTCGAGTCTGGTCTGTATCTTGATGGGCAACCGCTTGGGAAACCTCTAAGTTCGGATGTAATAGATACTGGCTCGGAATTGTTAATCAGAGAGCACAGTTTGTTTTATTCACTTATGTGCAGATAAAACATTGGAAAAGATATGAATCCATCTTGTCTACCCCAAGCTATGGTTTAATCATTAAGATTTGTATCACTAAGTTATTATTATCTAAAAAAAATCTTACAATCTAAATTTTTTCTGGCTTTAAATAACATGCAAAGGGTTGATAAAACGTAGAAAATGAATCAATCAAAACAATCAATTAAATAAAATGTTTTTGCGTCTTGTCTGTGATTAGTTTTAGATAAATAAATAAAAAAAAAAAGGTGAACATTCTCTGCTAATTTTGTACATTTGGCCAAGGCTTATAACTGCATAAAGATTCATACGCTTGAATACATCAACTATACAACTGTAACATTGATAAGCCAACAAATGAATGGCCATAGAACGAATTCTATATTAATATTTCTTCTTCCTATTTTGCCAGATTTTGTTCAAGGAATTTTCCGCTCTATTCAAATCGAATCGAATATTTTCAGTAACCAAAATAGAAAATAATTCTTTATCACTTCCATTTCGCAGTTTCCAAAAAAACGAAAAAAAAACAAACTTCCAGCTCCGGGAATACCATGGGGTTTGGAAAAATATTAGAGAGATAACTCCTAAACTGCAGTTAGTGATATAATAGCCTTATCCGTCATCGAATAAATTATTAATATTCGATCAATAATGCATTGCCAACGAATAATAAAGCAGTCGAGGAAACTTACCGACTGCCCATATTCTGCCATTCAAATTTAAACACTCTTTGGTTATTGGAGTCGAAAAAATCAGAATAATACTTGAATCATTTAATCCATTTAAAGAAATGGGGTAAATACGTACTCTTATCTAATTAAAGCTGATATTTCAGGGATAAATCGTTACTGGGTAGTTGACTCCATTTTGTTAAAAATGTTATTTGTTTGTGATGTACATTAAAGACACATTTTTATGTTTGTTCACTAATCTTTCTAATTTAAGAAATCGTGCAGTGGATTTAAAGATTTCCTATTAAATATAATATAATAATGATGTGAATTTCTAAGATGAGTCATTGCTAAGTTTATGTATTGATTTTCTTTAACCTTTTTAAGAACAACAGGAAACGTAGACACGTTGAAAATTACTGTAGAAAGCTCAATTTCCCACGTATTTCCCAGAATTGTTTGAGATTTTCAATCGACAGACGATGTACATTTTCTGCAAATATTTAAACAATTTTAGTGGTACAAAACTTAAGCCTAACGAGAAAAAAAATAAACATGATATAAATTACTCTCGAGGTTTAATTTGTTCGTATTTTCAACTATCAACTGAGATTGCTTATGCGGTAATTTGTAACAACATTAGCTTACCAGTTTCTGGCAGTTTTAACCAGTTTGTTGAAGGTTGCTATTTTCTTGTGTTGATAGAAGAAATATATTTATATGATAGTATGATAATAATATCTCTACAACAAACTATGTGTCTTCGAACGAGGGATAGTGTAGTGATAGTATTGTGTTGTATAAAATTCGACTTGTCCTGTGTATGACGATAAACTACGTCCGGCAGCAACTCCTCTGATCGGGTGGTTTTGATGAGCGTGAAATGACCTCTTAATTGCTGTTATTCCCAGGTCCAACCTGACCCGGGATAGTAGCACTTGTCAGGGTCCCAGCCATGGGCAAATAATTAACTTCCAAACTAGGGTCAAAACACTATGAAAGTGTAAAAATAGATTTTTATAGTAAAAATACCAGCAATACATTTTCGAAAAGATATTACCAGCAATACATTTAAAAAAGACATAACCAGCAATAGATTTGACTCTTGACAAAGACCCCTTTACAGAAATACGACAATAAAACCTGATTTATTACGAAGAATACATATTCTATTCATACGAACCTATCCTAAAAATATTGTCGACATTGAATAACCCATTGACGTTGATATGCCGTGAAACAAAATACACCAAACTAAAACACTTGAATTCGACGCTGGTTTGTCCATCCAAGGGGAAACGAGGTACGTCTTGTCAATATGGTATCCTGTTAGCGAAGAAAGAGATGGGCGTCTTGTTCTTTTCATTTTATAATGCTTTATATAATGCTACATAGTAGGCGTTAAAAAAACTCCTGACAGCAAAGTGGGGTAATTACATTGAAATCTAAATTACAGTGTACGCTTCTCGCAAATATTTAAACATCTTCTCATGAATAGCAAGAAGAATCGGATATATATTTGTTGCATTCTTCCTAAAATCAGATCTTCTGATTCATGCTACACTAATTTCCACCACTGGCCAAATGTGAACACTCCGGACGCCCAAAACTGAACTAAAATTTCGTCAACTGCGCATGGCTCCTCACATATCTTCCGTTTTTACTCACACACTCAAAGAAAAAATAAGCAATACAATCCATAATTTCCACATAACAGCAACGACTCCCGCTTAAAGAAACGAAATAAAAAACTTGTACCAATTTGAGCATAAGAAAGGACATAAAACTTATCAAAGGGACATTTAGGCAGTTGGACGGCATCTTGGCTTGGGTTCACAAAAGAGACAGTTCGCCGAAGGCCGTCTCCCCATTCAGTCCCAATTCATCCTTCCTCACCTTCCGTACACCTCAGTTGGATGCATTTCACAACTCCACTTATCACCTTTTTCAACGAGAGACATCTACAACGATTTATCATTTGTTGTATTATACATTAATACAATTATTTATTTCTTTAGATTTTCGTTGTTTGTTCTTTGTTATACCACTATACGCTTATCATAACATGTTGAAGATTACAGTCAGAGCTCAAATTTTCATGTACATTCAAGAATTCATTGAGATTTTCAGCCGTAAAAAAGTACATTGTTATTGAATTTGAAATTATCAATAAATAGTTGAAATATATGTAGCAAATTGAGCTTCGACAGTAATAGCGTGTCTCCATTTTTGTACGACTAAGAAATTGTTTATCTTTTTTCTCTTTAGGCCTGTGTTAGATGATGAAGCATTATTACTAATATACATTGATCCATTCAAACCTATATCTTTGCTTTCGATTTGTTTATCTCAGTTTTGCTGTAGCTATAATGTTCGACCGTTTTGATCTTGTCTGGATTTCTTAAATGTTTTAAGCAATATTCATTTATTCATTCATATAATTTTTTTACGTCCGTTTCTAATATCACAGCTTTTCTTTTACTTTATATGCTCTGTTCCCCTGCCCCCACCCCAGGACATAGGCAATCATGGCTCTCCACAACATTCCGTGACTTGTAGCTCTTAATAAATTTTGACTTATTTCTCCTAAACCTTGTTCCGCCATCCATTTACCCAAGCTCACTAAATACGTTATGAACTATTTTCCTCTTCTCTCGCGACATCAGTCAGTTCTGTGAGTATCAAATTTTCCAAGCCCTCCATTCTCATTATGTGTCTTAGAAGCTTCAATTGTCTCTTCCTGATGTTAAATATGAGTTTCCTTTTATTTCCATTTTCTCTAAAATTTCGTCTTTGCTGACATGTTCGGTCTATGGTATCCTCAGCATCCTTCTGTAGAACCACATTTTTATTCTTTCTGTAGAACCATATTTTATGTTGCTTCAAGTCTCTTCTTCATCTTTGACGAGATTGACCAGCACTCACTGCCCACAGCTTTTAAAACGCTGTATTCGCCAATCTCTCCCGGATATCTGTCCCATTTGGAAATCTTAAAAATACCGTTATATTTTCCACATCTACAAAAATATGCTTTTCTTATCCCTAAACGTAACTCACCAGGTGCCCTGCGTAAGAAAAGGCACTCAAAATTACAATTATTATTTTGGTGGATGTCCGCTGCTCAGACTACATGCCCCGAACCTTCTCGGCCGTACAGACAAGATTTTAATGAAAACAGAACCTAGCCGGAAAATGGTCATTGTTGACAGCCAACCAACTTTAATAAGAAGAATTTACATTCATCGATTCGTTCTGCAATACAAATAAGTTTAGTCTCTATTGCAGCAAGTATATTTAACGATCAATTTTTAAACTGTTCTTCTTGAGGATAGTAACGGTATTTTAGAGAAAAAAAAGGAAGACTGATTCGATTTAAATTTGTTTGGTTGTTTTCGTTCAGCGGCATATCAACCCGTATAGGTTATTCATTGCTGAAATCTAAATATGAAATTTCAAACTTTATAATTAATTCAAAGGAATGACATTATTTCATGATTAAATTATAAGTCGGTAGCTGCATAATATTTTACCAAATAAACTTACAAAATAAATCGAGGAATGAAAACATTTCTCCTTACAAGAAATGAGATTCATCACGATGTTTTTACGAATCAATGAATGTAAAGTCTTCTTATTAAAGTCAGTTGGCTGTCAACAATGCCAATTTTCCGGCAATGCTCTGTCTTCATTTGGATCTTATCTGTCCGGCCGAGAGAGATGTGGGGGCATGTAGTCTGGGCAGCGCATAACCTTCATATACCATCACCTAGGCCTACGCCCTGGAGAGGTCTCACTACAGGCTGACCACGATCAAACAGGGCGCTACATTTATCTCGAGAGATAAAAGATGTCTCCTAATTATTGAAAGGTTAGCTGCAATCGGAAAAAAAAAAAATTCCCAGAAATTTTCTATATGAAACCTGAAATATCTGGAACGGAACTGCCTTTCGGCTTCTTGCTTGTGGAACTGCCTTTCGGCTTCTTGCTTCCGTTACTGCCTTTCGGCTTCTTGCTTGCGGAACTGCCTTTCGGCTTCTTGCTTCCGTTACTGCCTTTCGGCTTCTTGCTTGCGGAACTGCCTTTCGGCTTCTTGCTTCCGTTATATATGAATAAGTCCTAAGAGGATGAAACGCCTCGGCTAAGAAAAGTTTTGATTTTCTTTTAATTCACACACACACACAAACACTAATAGTCCATGGTTAGAATTGTTGGTTTGATGATAATGCGTCATCGCAGCGCTTCAGGCAAAAT